TCACATTGTAGAAGAGCATGTGTGATTTCAAAAATACGATGGGTCACAGAGGTTTTAATTGTTTTATGGATGAGGCATGAAGTCTGGTAGAAAAGCAGTCAGCCCAGAATGGCAAGATTAACAAGGGGCATCTTAGGAAGCTAATCCTAGAGATAATACTGCAAGGAGCTCCTATTTAGTTAGCTTTTAAGGCATTTATTTACAGCCTTTAAAAAAATCCATGGTGTTACGGTATTTGTGCAAGATCTGTGCTGTTGACAAATGATTCTAATTTCCTCATTAGGAAATGAAGCATAGTCTTTAAGTGCCAAATATTTAGATCAACTGAAGCCACACTCGGGACTCACTGTGCATAAGACACCCACCAGAAGGGGCCATCTGTCAGGTTAAAGTGATCTCAGCTTTCTTCTACTGCCTCCTCATTGTCACAGCAGTGTTCACGTAGACCAGAGGTAACAGGTAGCTGGTTTATCTTGAGGAGCAGCAGGTGAATAGGCCTTCTTTCTCTGGGGCTAAGCAGGTGTGGTTGTGGGTCTGTCGTTTCATCAAAGTTGAGTCATGCAGAAAATTACTAACATACTCCTTTACACTCAAGCATCCAAATTGAAAACTGCACTTAGTACATCATTCTGACAAAATCTCTCAGGTCTCTGGGCTTGTGAGCTTTTGCTGATTTGGTCAGTGGTCTGGTGACCCTTCAAAGAGTGTCTCTAGGACCTAGTATATAGAGAGAAGAAAATCAGTCAGAGAAAATTTTGAGATTTCCTCCAGCTGTAGCAATGTTATATGTACTTAATAGTAAAGCTCCATTTTTCAAATTCCAAAGTAATGTTTTTTTCACTAATTCTTATAGACCTCCCCCTCTATAATTATAAATACAAGAATTTCTTCTTGTGAGTGTGTATTAACTTTACCCTTTTACTCATGCGTTTCCTTGCCTTTGGTGTTCCTGTTTCAGTCTCTAATTTTTTTATTCTCACAGACTCAGTCCTGAGATTCAGGCCTTCCTAGTTAGATATGAAAATACAGATATGAAAAAAAAAACAAGTGAGATAACATCATTGTTATCATTACTGTAAATTTTGTATTGAAGTATAATATATACACAGGAAAGTAACTAAAATATAACTGTATAACTCAGTGAATTTTCTTGAATTAAATACACTCATTTAACTGCCACCCAGATCAAAATATAGAACATTACCAACACCCTAGAAGCCCTCCATCTGTTCCTGCCTACTAACAGACCTCCGTCACCATAGGTGATCGTTTTGCTAGTTCTTTAACTTCATATTGTTCATCATTGTGGTTGTGAGATTCATCCATGCTATCACATGTAGTAGATCATTAATTTTCACTTCTGTGTCATATTCCATTGTGTGAATATACCATATTTTATTTATCCATTCTGCTCATGATAGATATTTGGGTTGCTTCCAGCATTTAACTATTATGAAAAATGCTAATACGGCCCTGGCTGGTGTGGCTCAATGGATTGAGCGCTGGCCTGCGAACCAAAGGGTCACCGGTTCAATTCCCAGTCAGGGCACATGCCTGGGTTGCAGACCAGGTCCCCAGCTGGGGGTGCACAAGAGACAACCACACATTGATATTTCTCTCCCTCCCTTCCCCTCTGTCTAAATAAATAAAATCCAAAAAGATTCTTTAAAAATGCTAATACAAACATTTTTATTCATCTTTTGATAGATATATGTGTACTTTTTGTTAAATATATTTATAGGGTTTGCTAGGTCATAGGGTGTGTACATTCATCTATAATATCAGCTGCCAAGGAGTTTACTAAAGTGGTTGTCCCAATTCACTCCTATTCCCATCAGCACTATATCAGATGTCTGCTCCACTTCCTTCTGAACACTTAGTATTGTCAATTTTGGTCAGTCTTCAAGTTCAGCCTTTCTGGTAGATAATAGTGGTTGATTTCAGTTTGCATTTCTGTGATAACGACTAAGGTTGAGAATCTTCTAAAAGTTTTCTTGCCATCTGGATAGCTTTATTTGTCACGTGTCTATTCAAGTTTTTTGCTGTTTTTAATGGGGTTGTCTGTCTTTTACTAATTGTAGGAGTTTGTTATATATAGAGTGGGGCAAAGTAGACTTACAGTTTTAAGTACACGAAATAGAGTTTGTCCTTGTATTATTATTTTAAAAGATTTTATTGATTTATTTTTAGACATAGGGGAGGGAGAGGGAGGGAGAAAGAGAAACATTGATGTGTGAGAGATACATCAATCCCCAACTGGAGACCAGGCCCACAACCCAGGCATGTGCCCCGACTGGGAATCAAACCAGTGACCTTTCGGTTTGTAGGCCAACACTCAGTCCACTGAGTTACACCAGCCAGGGCTTATTCTTGTATTATTATTATTTATTAAATATTTTATTATTTTCCATACAAACAGCTGTAAACCTATTTTTGCCTCACCCTGTATAGTCGATAAACAGAAGTTTTTCGCTCTCTTCCATTATGGTTAATGACTTTTGTCTTATTTAAAGTATCTTTGCCTATCCCAAGGGTATAAAGATATTCTTCTTTGTTTTCTTCCAGAAACTTAATAAACATATTCTTTTAATTTAAAAACATTTATAGTCTACCTTGTTCCACATAGAATGCAAGGCAATTGAGATGAATAGTTATCAAATATTCTTCATTTTAGAAAAAGATGAATCTTGAAATAGTTAGATATTCTCTAATTACCTCATATGCCATGCACCTAAAAAGCACAGCATATTTAGTGTCATAGTCCCTGGAGAATTCATATTATGTCTTGTTTTTACATTTAGGTTCATTTCAGTTGGAAGCAAGTTTCTGACAGCCATTCCCAAATTTTTAGCTTCAATTAATATTTCTGGGCTCTGCTTTTTTCCTCAAATATTTGTTGCCTTTGGCTTTCAAAATGCCATATGGTAGAAAAATAAACATGTGCAAATGTGTATAGTTACTAACTTTATTCGGCATATATAATTGGAATCATACACTTTCGGAAGCACATACTTAGGAGGAAATATTTATAAATGCATTTACAGAGTGGACTTGGCCTATGTACAAGGGGGGACCCCAAAAAATCAGAATTATCTTCTGAGGGGTGGGCCCCTTATAGTACTGGCTTCCACTGCTAGGTGAGTGTTCTAGGATCCCATCTGTATCAGTGTACCAGCTAACATTGTGAGAGGCTGCATTCAGCTTCAGTGAATTTTTTTTAAGACTTGCAATGTGTTTGCCCATTTTGTGATGAGTGGTTTACAATCACACCTGCCCACACTGTGTTGCGTGTTCAGTTTCTGACCAAAAGCAGCATGACCCCCAAACCCCACCCTCCCTATTCACCCAGTCTCACCCCAAACAACTTTTTTGTTTGTTTCCCTGGATGAAAAACGTCCTCAAAGGGAAACGTTTTGCCCATGTGGAAGAGGTGAAACAAAAAATGACAGAAGCACTAAAAGGCATCAAAATCGATGAGTTCAAAAACTGCTTTGAGCAGTGGAAAAAATGTCTCAACAGGTGTATTGCATCAAATGGAGAGCACTTTGAAGGTGACTGAAGTTTAAACATGTCAATAAATGCACAACTTTTTATAAGTAAATTCCATTTTTGGGGGGGTCCCCCCTCATATGCTTATGTATTCATAGGAATACATTTATGTTTATGAACACTTCTGCTTATATAACAGCTCTAGAGTAGCAATTTTCAACATTTTTCATCTCATGACATACATAAACTAATTACTAATATTTTCTGGGGATACCAAAAAAATTTATTTTTTGCTGATCTGACAAAAAACATTTTTATTCATTCACACCGGATGGCTATTGTTGTGTTGGCCATTGTCGTTTCTTTTATTTGACAATCTTAGGGAAAAGAGTTTTGTTTCCCTGACTAAATAGTCAAGTATTTCATGTTTTAAAAATTCTTGTGGCACACCAGTATGCTGCAGCATAGTGACTGAAAATCACTGCTCTAGAATAAAGAAACTGACTTTAGAAGCCTTCCAAAGAAACAATTTTCATTATTTTATGATGACATATATATCTATTTCTCTCTCTCTCTCTCTTTTTTGATGGCCCACCCTGTTCTTTAAAATTGCCAGGCAATAATAATCCAGATTTCCTCTTGGTTATATTTTCTGATGCTTCATGCAGTACCTAAAACATCAGTTGTAGAATAGGTCATTGGTATGAGAAACTTCTATTTCTTCCCTTGCTTGATTTCCTTTCCTTGCCTTGGGCTCTTAAGTGTAAAAAAGGGTAAAGGAAAATATGGGTTTGCTCTGGCCTACTGGAGAAATTGATGAAAACACAGGAATCTTTCTTCCCATCCAATAGCCCTGGCTCAGACTTATGGTTGCTATCATTTATGATTGGGAAATGATTTCAGTTTGTACAAGTCCGTGGACTCTTGGCTTCCACTCATCTACATAAATAGTGAAGATAATAATATAACAACAACAATAATGACATTTTTATTGAATTTATTGGGGTGGCATTGGTTAATAAAATTATAGGTTTCAGGTGTATAGTTCTATTATGCATCGTCTGGAGGACATTATGCTAAGTGAAATAAGCCAGTCAGAGAAAGACAAGTACCATATGATTTCATTCACATGGAATCCAGTGAATAGAATAAACTAACAAAATAGAAACAGACTCATAAAAACAGAGAGTAGACTGATAGCTGTTACAGGGGAAGGGGTTGTAGGACTGGGTGAAAAAGGTAAAGGGATTAAGCAAAAAACAAACAAAACAAAAAAACCTCATCAGCAGTCAGTGTTCAGAGGAGATGACAAAATAATTTGTAGAAGCATTTGCTTTCTAGAAAGGGATCTTCCATACTTCTCAGTTGGCATAGCAGGAGGTTTCCACAGGGTAGAAAGGGAGAGCATTCACCTCCATTATATGACCCTGAGTACCATTGGGGCTATTCAGTCAATGCCTACAATTTGTCACCTGTTGTTTGTCATTAGGACCTTTCTTTTGCTTTTCTAGGATTGTAGCCGAGAAGGTAAAGGAAGTTCTATTTACCCGGCCCCGGAAGTATATCCAGTGCTCTGTCCCAGAGACCACAGAGCCTGGCTATGTCAACATCAAGGAGCAGGCGGCATCTGTGTGCCGCTATGACCTAGACGACATGGACATCTTCTGGCTCCAGGCACTCAATGAAGATCTTGCAGAAATGGGTAAGTTGTTTTCTCAAAAGTAAGTTGTTTCTTGACTCGATGTGTGATTTTTTTTTTTTTCTTTTAAGTCATTAGGACCAACCGTTTAACCTGCCTTCATCTTGTGGCTTCCTTTCTTTTCTGGTCTTTTTGTTTACTTTTTCTTTGATTTTATTTTAATGAGGCATGTATCGAAACGCATAAATATACTGAAATAGAGAAATAACATTTAAATTGGGCCTTTTCTTCCCTTGTTCATGGTGAATAGCACATGAACATGTGCTGTGTAGGTTTCGCAAGGCTGTTTCCCAATTCTGAATATGAGAGTTATCATGGCTGATTGGATTTCTGGTTGAGAATTCTGAGACTGTTTCCTTACTCAGCCCTGAAAAGCACTCAGATCAGTGAATGGGGCCAAGGGTAATGGCACCTCTACCATATCCTCCTAATAGAGAGAAGTTCCAACTTTAGCATTAGACAGCACTACATCTGACAGGTTGGTGTGGCCAGGAACCTTAATACAGAAGTTATAGTTTTGCTGCTCGGAATAAGAATGGCATGCCTAGGGCAAAAATTCCCAAAGCTGTCATTAACTACCACCATTGAGTTCCAGAGTTGTCATGCAGTTCTCAAAACAAAACAAAATGAAGCAAAAACAAAGAACTTGGAAATAAGCATAAAAATCATCTTTAGAGAGAATATATGCCATACGGTACCATACCCACAATGCTGGGAAATCCTAGACTGAAAGGAGACTCGTTTTATAATACTTACACATAACTCTTTTTGCCCTGTCTTCAGTCTGAATAGTGTTTAGGTCCAAGTGGTCCTGTGGAACACTGGGTGATTTTTAATTCTCCATATGAAATACAGTGAAGGATACATTTGATTTCCTTTTTGTTTGAATCACATTTGTTTATTGTTAGTACAACAAGAATCGGTGGTTTTCCTTTTCTCCCCTCACTCCTCTTTTTTTCTTTCTTTTGAGGTTGGCATCTAAATGCATGTGAACAAAAAGTTGTATTAAATCCAGTTTGGCATAATAGTGGTACTTATTCTGCCAGTAATCAATACTTACTCCTTGCTTCTTGAAACTTCTTGTTTTATGTCTTCTCTTGTTCTGCCTTCTGAGAGGAAGGGTGGTCAATTTAGGGTGGGAACCACAAAGAGAGGAGAACAGAAGACAGGGAAAATCACAGTGTGGGGGCATAATCAAGTACATTGATAGCTTGATGTGTGGTATTTATGAACTATATAACATCCATATACATTACAGTCATTACATTGCTGCCTTCGACATTGATACCACCTTATAATTAGGTCCCTTTGGTATTTTGCAGTTAATTCCCTTTGGATGAGTTTTTTTTAATAAATTTTTTTTATTTTGAAATAGTTTCAGATTAACAGAAAAACTGCACATTTAATACAGTAACCGTATACCCCTCACACAGTTTCAGTTTCCCTTAACATTAACATCTCATTTTACCATGGTACATTTATCAAAGCTAAAAAAAAAAACCAACACAGGTACATTACTGTTTACTGAATTCCAGGCTTTGTTGGGATTCTATCAGGGGTTTTTTTTTTGTTTGTTTGTTTGTTTGTTTTGGTTTTTTTTTTACTAATGACCTTTTTCTGTTCCAGGATTCCATCCAGGATACCACATTGCATTTAGGCTTGGATGAGTTTTAAAAGAGGATTGCCTTATCTCAAGTATTCCTTTAGAATGATTTCATTTTTGCTTAGGTTTCATTTTTGTAGTAAGGTTTCTAAGAGCTTAAAATAAACTTTTAAAAGCAACATTAAATTAAGCACATTTTTTACTCTGATTGAGGAACTTTAAAAATTGAGTGCTTACTACATACTAGCCACTATACTAAACAATGTATGAATATTACCTCATCTCGGCCTTATAAGAAATCAGTGAGTTTGGTATTACCCTTATTTTACAGATAAGAAAACTGAGCCCTAAAGTGGATAAATAACTTGTCAAAGTTTACATGACCAATATGAGATCAAGTTGGAATTTAAATTCAACTACTTTTATAACCAGACACTAATACTCCTTCACTTCAGAGGAAAAAAAAAATGTGTGGTTTGTAGGTGGAAAAATGAAACATACTACCTGGGTAGTTTTTTGTTTATAAGTAGCTACAACATTAAAAAGGTAGTTTATGTGGAATTTCGAATTCCTTAGGACATTTTATATTACTTCGGTAAATTTGTTTTGGATCATTTTGAGAATTGGTTCTGAATTTACAAGCTGCTAGAATATATATATTTATTATATATTATATAGTATATATATATAAAATATATATTCCTCCCAAGCAGAAAAAAATGTTGTTTTTATCAGTATCCACCATATGAATCTTTATGTTGGGTTATTAAATATGAAATACTAAGAAAAACTAAAAAGTACAGAAGGAAAAGGAATCAAGAGGCAAAAAAGTAACTCTAGAATTTGCAGTTAGACCCATGTAAATGTTGATAGGTTTATTTTGTATTAAAGTTCGACACTGGAAAATATTACTGGATTTCTTTAAAATTCAGGTTTGAGAAATAAAATATTTCATAGTACCTAGTATTTTCTTTTATGACATAATACCTTTTTGTATGAAAATGTCCTTGTATAATCATTAGATATGCTCATTGGGACTAATTTACTAAGACTGAATTATTATTTGTATCCAAATAGTTATATTATTCTAATTATTTTATTATGCTATAATTTAAAGTGTTCAAAATTATAAAGCTCAGTGAAAGTCCTCCCTCAGTAGAAAACACAGAGAGATTTAGGAGGAGACTGGCTAGGATTTAGACAGAAAATTTAAAGGGTCAGTAATATATCTTAACAAGAAATATGGTGAAATATATTTCTCCTTCATGTATCAAACACTAACATGTGATTCTAGATAAGTAGTAAATATTAGAATAGCCTCTAGTAACTGATTCTTTGAGATCTCCTCACCCCTGCACCAGGCTTAAAGTAGGTAATTTGGGAATGACAGCTGACTGATGGGTTGATTGATTGTTTGTATTTCTGTGCAGGTTGTGAGCCAGTTGATGAGAATCTTATGGAAAAGACAGTAGAAGTCCTGGAACGCCAATGCCATGAAAATATGAACCATGCTATTGAGACAGAGGAGGGGCTAGGCATAGAGTATGATGAAGATGTGATCTGTGATGTGTGCCGGTCTCCAGACAGTGAAGAAGGGAATGATATGGTATTCTGTGATAAGTGTAACATCTGTGTGCATCAGGTTAGTGAGAGTGCAGGCCATCACCTCTCCACATTCAGCCTTGCTGAAGCTCAGTGATGATCTCCAGCACCCATATCAGGGTTGCAGCTTGCATTTAAGGTGGAAAATAAAGATTTGGTCTGGCTGTTCTTCAGTATTCCTTTAGAAACAATACTTATTATGATCCCTGAGGTGACATAAAATTTACCTGAAGGGGCTAAACTCAGGTCTTGATTGTCATTTCATGCCCATGTCATTGAGATTGCCTCATTAGGTACTTTTACAGTGCCCTGGAGAGTCTTCTTCCTGCTTGCATGGGAGTCTCTCCTCTGCCACAAATCCATGCTACATCATCAGGTTACACCCATAGTCCGTAAGCTTGTTGAGTTTATACTTCTACAGCTGGAAATCCAGACTCCTTATCCTGGCACCCAGAGCCTTCCCCATCTCCCAAATAAACCACTTCCAGGAAGCTGGTCCACCCCACTTTTAAAGATCATAGACTCTTAGGATTGTAAAATCTATCCCACTCCTCAAATTTACAGGTAATACCAGAAGAAGGAAGTGACTTTACCCAAGCTCTTACAGCCAATAATTTGTCATTCTTTCTACCACACTGTGTTTTTAATTAATAATGATGATACCAACATTCTTTTCAGCTTTTTCCTTTTCTTCCCCCATAAGCCCTGTGCTACAGTAAAATAAAGTAACTCAAGGAAGCACCTTGTTCCTGACACTGTGCTGTCTCCATGTTTTCGCCACCCCCACCCCCCCGTTTAAAATGCCTTCTCCCACTTTCAGCTGTCAAAAAAGTCTACCTATCTTCCAAGATCTAGTTCAAATCCATTATTGAACTCCCCTAACCTAAGTGATTTTTCACTCTTCTGAACCTGTTGTGTGTTTTATTAATTCATCTAGCAATAGATACACAGCACCATCTGTGTACCAGGGCTGTGCTGCATACTGAAGACACAGTGAGAGATGAAGAGGTGAACATGGTCTTTGCCCCCAGGGAGATCAGAGTCTGGTGTAGGGACTACAAGGAAACTGACCATTTAGCAAGTGTTTTTGTACATAGAAGTCTGTGCTGCTGTGGAAGTGCATGGGAGGGATGGGTGTCAGGGACAACTTACAGGTGGTCACATCCAAGCTGAATCTTAATGGCCAAAAGGAGATGCCAGATAAAACAGCAGCACATGTTCAGGCAGAGAAGAGACGAGTTCAGATGAGTTAGTGAGAGTGGGCAGAGCATGTCTGAGGCAATGTTGAGCAGTTCAGAACTGTGGAGTGTGGTGGGTGGAGCAGGAAAGGCATGGAGAATGAGGGTAGAAAGAGATACAAGGGACATACGTGAAGGGCCTTCTCTCACAAACAACTTCAGTTTTGTCCTGTCAACCCTGAAGGATAGGATTTGTATTTTAGATTATTCTAGCTACAAAATGACTAAAATGATTACGTAACAGGCGATAGAAATCAGGGCTGAAGACTTTAATTACCTGGGTCCCCTAACCTAACCTTTTGTGTTAGAAGATAACTCAAAATTATTTTGTGACCAACTGTGTGTTTTCCTTCATTTACTTGTGTCCTTGAAAGACTCAATTTCAAAAATTTATCTTCACTCTACCAGTTAATTGTTATTTATATTATACCCTTAGAGAGAAAATCTTTACCATATAAGGATGAACTTAAGTATATTATAATACAGGTCCACAGTCCCTTCTTTGTGATGCCAAAATTTTAAAGCTCTGAAAAACTGCAAGTTTTTGCTTCAGTTTGGCACCAAAACTGATTTGGTGGCAACAGCAGAAGTTACCCCATGTGAGGCTATTTATAGTCTTTATCCCATATTGTGTAGTCATATATTTTTAGAGAAATGTTACTACATTTGGTTATGCGGTACTGCTTCTGGTCCCACTGAGGAGTTAGGTAATGTACTACTTTTCTAAGATCTAAACAATCCTGAATTTCCTGATTTTCTCATGCTAGGATTTTCAGGTAAATGATTGTGGATCTGTAGTAAGCTTGAAGGGAATAGTACAGAAGTCATCTGTATATAGTTTCTGTATTTGTCTTTCACAGTTGGGACGAAATATTAAGGAATTATTTTCAGGTTCTTGGACTAACAAAGTGAAATGTAGCTTAATAATTCTCAAGGGTATTTTACTTGTTTTCAAAACATATCCAGTAATGACTATAAATGATGTCCTTTTATCACATAGAAAGATGACAGTAACACCTGACCAGGCTTTACAGAATGTAAGCTGGTATGAATTAATGCTGGATGCTGTGCCACGTAAAGTTTCACATAAAAAGAATTCTTCCAAAGTGAGGATAACTCACTTGAGTTCTAAAGAGCTACTTAGGTTAGAGCGCCCTCTGTTGACTGAAAAGTGACTTAAAATGATTTGGAAGATTTCGTTTACTCCTTAACAGAATCAGGAATATGTTGACATCTGTATATAGTAAGCATAATTTTTCTTTTTTACTGCCACCATATTGTGTCATATGTTCTTCTGTACCTATAATACATTTATGGTCAGTACTTTGGAAGAGAGGTTTACATCAATAGACTTCAGATTTTAACAGTGAACTTAAAACTTTTTCATTAAAAAATATGAAAATTAAGATCATTCTGAGTCCTTTTATATGTTCCATTGTCTGCTTCTTAGCCCAGGTATTGAACTCTCAGACTGAGACCTAAGTTAATTTGACTGAAGGTATATGTTCGTTTTTATACCTGTCATGTATGTACTGTTTGGCACTGAGTTTATGCCCCTGAAATTATATGCAAAACATGTTCATGCAAACGTGTGATTTTCTCAGGAGAGTCCACAGCCTTCATCATTTGTGGTCTAGAAAATGTTGAGAACCACTACTATGAAATAAAAGCTCCTGTGATCTTTAGACCATGAGTAAGTCTGCACAAGGTTTATTAGTAAGTGATTTTCTACCCAAGGGAATGGCCAGGATATAAAGGGTATTCCTAGAACCAGCCATTGGTTTTTCTTCTGCTTGTCTGTAGGTGACTCTGCTTAAGGAAGGAAGCTTGGTTTCATTTCCTAGCAATCTTTCTGGACCTCAGGGGGAAAAAGCTTTGAAAGTTAAGAATCCTATAAAACAATGCCCTGCTGTGGTAAGAGCAGCCTGGTTTGAGTCCAACTTCAGTTCTTGAGCTAAGTAAAGCTTTGCATAGAGAGCATTCCAGATAAATTGATGATAAAGGACCTACTTCCAATGACCTTAAAATATCACTGAGGATATGAAACGTAACAGTTGAAGTAGAGAAGACTGCATGATGCAGACTCTGTACCTGGTGATGAAAACAATGCTGAGTAGAGGGCAGGGATCAAGAAGTGTGGCACAGACACAAGCAGTCACAGTAACCTGAGAAGTGAGGTGAGGAACAGCAGGCTTTAGATCAGGGGCCAACAAATGCTTTCTTTGAAGGGCCAGATAATAAATAGTTTAGACTTTGATGACCATATGCAGCCCCTGTTACATATTTTTTAACATTTCTTTAAAAATATGAAAACTGTTCTCAGCTTGGCGGCCTTACAAAACAGGCCTCAAGTAGTTTGCCAACTCTAGTTTAAATGGGTATGGAGGTAAGAGCAAAAGGAGTATCTAGAGTGGTTGTTGCTGTGCAATGGTATGAAATCATTGTTTTAGTAAGAATATGGCAGACAAATAGAGGAAGGATTTAAGGTGTGAAGAGGGAGGAAGAGAATTTAGAAATAAATCAGTCTAGGCATGATGTGATGAGGACTTGATGGAGCAGTTTTGATGGGGATGGAGAGGAAGGTCAGAGTCCAGGGGTCACTCTGTGGGGAGGCCTAGCAAGACCCAGGTACAGTAGATGAAAGAAAGTAGATAATATGAGTCTAGGAATGTGGATCTGGAAGCTAGGAAGCATGGCGGTGATATGGGTAAGAGAGAGTTTAGGAAGGGGCCAATTTAGGGGGTGACATGATGGTAACTTGTAACTTGAATCTGAGCTATGGGTGAACCTTCTCGGTCAGGCACATCCTGAAGCTGCCATGGAAAATCAGTCAGTGGTGGAGGGTATGCCAGACTACATGGGAAGCCAGGAGGCCCTCAGGTTCCATCTCTAATGGTGAGAGTAGAGCACTTAGTGGGGAACGATGGGCAAAATTAGAAATAGCAAAAGGGAAATCTAGAATTTCCACACTAATCTCCTTCCTCCCCCCAGTAATTCATCTATTTACTTGTCCAGCTTCATTCCATAAAGGATTTGAAGCAGCTTCCAGAACTCATTATGGAGTATTGTGATTAGTCTAATATTATATTCAGGATTCTTTTTATTAAACCCAAGCAAGTAGTTGCTACAATTTTCTGAGTGTTTATGCACCAGGCACTGTTAGACTCTAAACATCAGCTCATTTGCTCCTCAGAAGTTTCATCCGATTTATTTTTAATACCTTTTTTCTTGATCACAGCATTGCATGACATGTAGTTGTTCAGTTGTATATGACTGACTGATTATAATAGTCCTTGATGAAACTTTAGAAAATGGAAGCAAAAAAAATGTTAATTTCCAAACTCAGTTAACAGTTGGGCTAGCCTTTGCAAGTATTTCCTTCTAGTTTTACTCTATTGTCCTTAAAGTCAGTTCTCATTGACAAGATATGCTGATCTTAGAACAGATCCTAGAAGCTGTCTTTTTCCCTGAGTGTTTTAAAATTACTAAATCCTGCATATGAGTTTGTTTGGCCTTATTTGCCTCTTTTTCCTAAAAATGGATGGCACTTTGTGACTGTACCAGAGAGCAGATACAGACCGTGGTGAGAAGATGCTAACCATTCTCCCCTCTCCTCCTCCTATCTCCAGGCCTGCTATGGCATCCTCAAGGTCCCAGAAGGCAGCTGGCTGTGTCGCTCCTGTGTCCTGGGCATTTATCCACAATGTGTGTTATGTCCAAAGAAAGGTGGAGCCATGAAGTCCACCAAGACAGGGACTAAATGGGCTCATGTAAGCTGTGCCCTGTGGATTCCAGAGGTAAGAACTCATCTAGGCCTGTGAGATCATTTGTTCCAGAGTGCCCCCGTTTTCCACAACATTCAGACTGATTCGAGCTTCATGGAGATGATTCATGTCTGCCCATGTTTCTGAGGTGATAATGCTTCCATTTGAGCTACCTCATATCCTTCTTGGATGCAAGTAAGCATATAAGCCTGCGATGGTTAATGTATAGGTGGTACTACCAGTGGTATTAGATAAACTTGTATGAGAAGAGAGGCGCAAAAGACCAGGGTATGAGCAGCAGTTTTTTTAAGGTAAAACTTACCTTAAGATACCAAATCTTAAATGTAGGGTTTCATGAATTTTTATACATGTGCATCTGTAACCATAACCCAGACGGAAGACATAGAACACCCCAGAAGGATCCCTCATACCCATTTTCCAGACCCTCTTTGGGTCCCTATTACCCAAGAATGATTTATATCACTATTAGTTTTATCTTTTTTCAAACTTCATATAAGTACTGTCATACAGTATGCTTTTTTTTTTCTGTCAGGTTAACACTGTGTTGTAGTATGTATCAACATTCATTCCTTTCTATTGCTAAGTAATATTCCATTGTATGGTTATACCACAATTTATCTATTCTCCTTTGATGGACATTTGAGTTGTTTCCAGTTTTAAGCTATCACAAATAAAGTGAGCAAGAGCTCTTTTCACGATTGCGATGGATGCCACTTGATTTTTGAAGTTTTTTTTTTCAGAGCTTGGACTCAACATCTGTTTAAGACCTTCTTTATTCAAACTCCATGCCTCATTATTTAATCTGGTTTTTCAGTTTCTGATATTTCCTGATGAGTTACATACACACTAGGTTGATTAAAACGGGCTTCCAGACATAACTTCTCCTTACTTCCTATGGCTGCTCTTTTTTTAACCTATTGGGACATCCCACTCACATCCTCTTTCTCCAACCCTTATCCAAGCCAACAAATTTGTCAGGCAGTTTAACTGAAGGACAAGATAGACTGCAGAATTCAGTTTATGGGGAAGCTAATGATATCAATGAGTCATTCTTCTTTAAAACTTTCCTGCTTTATTCTTTAAGTATATTTCATTGATTATGCCATTACAGTTGTCCCATTTTTTTTCCTCTTTATTCCCCTCCACCCATTACCCGCATTACCTCCAGCATCCCCCCGCCCCCGCCCTCAGTTCATGTCCGTGTATAAGTTCTTTGGCTTCTCCATTTCCTACACTATTCTTAACCTCCGTCTATTTTGTACCTACCGATTATGCTTCTTATTCCTTGTACCTTTTCCTCCATTCTCCTCCTTCCCCCCTCCCTGCTGCTAACCCTCCATGTGATCTCCATTTCTGTAATTCTGTTCTCATTCTAGTTGTTTGCTTAGTTTGTTTTTGTTTTTGTATTTTAGGTTTAGTTGTTGATAGCTGTGAATTTGATTTAATTTTACTGTTCATAGTTTTGATCTTCTTCTTTTTCTTAGATAAGTCCCTTGAACATTTCTCATAATAAGGGCTTGGTGATGGTGAACTCCTTTAACTTGACCTTATCTGGGAAGCACTTTATCTGCCCTTCCATTCTAAAAGATAGCTTTGCTGGATAGAGTAATCTTGGATGTAGGCCCTTGCCTTCATGACTTTGAATACTTCTTTCCAGCTCCTTCTTGCCTGCAAGGTTTCTCTTCTTTTTAAAAGATTTTTATTTATTTGTTTGTTTGTTTTTAGAGAAAGGAAGGGAGGGAGAAAAAGAGGGAGAGAAACATCAAAGTGTGGTTGCGTCTCGTGCACCCCCTCCTGGGAACCTGGGCTACAACCCAGGCGTGTGCCCTACACTGGGAATTGAACCAGCAACCCTGTGGTTCGCAGGCTGGTGCTCAGTCCACTGAGCCACACCAGCTAGGGCTTGCCTGCAAGGCTGCTTTTGAGAAATCAGCTGATAGTCTTATGGGAACTCCTTTGTAGGTAACTCTCTCCTTTTCTCTTGCTTTTAAAGGTCTCTCCTTATCTTTAACCTTGGGTACTGTAATTATGATGTGCCTTGGTGTGTGCCTCCTTGGGCCCAACTGCTTTGGGACTCTCTGAGCTTCCTGGATCTCCTAGAAATCTATTTCCTTGGCCAGATTGGGGAAGTTCTCCCATTATTTTTTCAAATAAGTTGTCAATTTCTTGCCTTTCCTCCTCTCCTTCTGGCACCCCTATTATTTGGATGTTGGAATATTTCAAGTTGTCCTGGAGGTTCCTAAGACACTCCTCATCTTTTTTTTTTTTTAATTCTTGTTTCTTCATTGTGTTCTGGTTGAATGTTTATTTCATCTTTCTACTCCAAGTTGTTGATTTGAGTCCCAGTTTCTTTCCCTTCACCGTTGGTTCCTTGTATGTTTTTCTTTATTTCACTTTGTGTGGCCTTCACTTCTTCCTCTATTTTCTGTTCGTACTCAACCATTTCTGTGAGCATCCTGATTACCAGTGTTTTGAATTGTGCATCTGATGGTTTGGCTGTCCCTTCATGGCTTATTTGTATATTTGGAGTTTTGATATGTTCTTTCATTTGGACCATATTTCTTTGTCTCAGCACACCTGTTATGTTGTAAGGGGCTGAGCCTTTGGTATTTGCCAGGGTGGGGCAACTCACAATGCTATGTTGTGACACTGTATGTGAGGGAGGGGTCAGGGAGGAAACAATGCTGCTTGCTCTGCTCCCAGCCAGCTTTCAGTCACTTCCCCTGCTACCCACAAGCAAATTTGGCCTTTCTGGTGCTGATTCCTGGGTGGGTGGGTGGGTGGGTGGGTGGGTTTGGGTACCTTCTAGGACCCTGTGGGTCTCTCCAATGAACACCCCTGTGAGGCTAGGAGATTCTCCCACTGCTGCACCCTCCGCAGGTTTTTACAGCCAAAGGTTTTGAGGCTTTCTTTTCCTGCCCTGGAAACCTAGGTTCCACGCTCTTGTCTCGCTCCCCTGTTGTTCCTCCCAGTTTATCTGCTTGCAAATATAGGACTGCCAGTCACTGTCTTGCCTGCCCAGTTCTCTAGCCACTGCCTTGCCGTGCGCATCCTCTCTGCCCTGATTGCCGGTCTCCGCCCCTCCTACCGGTCTGGATGAATGTTTAACTCCTTGGTTGTCAGACTTCCATACAGTTCAATTTTCTGGCAGTTCTGGGTGTTTTTTCTTTTTAAATTTCTCATTGTCCTTTTGGTTGTGTGAGCAGGTAAAGTGTTATCTACCCATGCCTCCATCTTGGCCAGAAGTCCCCTGTTTTTTGTTTGTTTTTTAAGTTTTATTTATTTATTTATTTTTAGAGAAGGAAAGGGAGGGAGGAAGAAAGGGAGAGAAACATCAATGTGTGGTTGCATCTCACGTGCCCCCTGCTGGGGACCTGGGCCTGCAACCCAGGCATGGGTCCTACACTGGGAATCGAACTGGCGACCCTTTGGTTCACAGGCTGGTGCTCAATATACTAAGCCACACCAGGTAGGGATTGTTTTTGTTTTTTAACTGGTTGTTACTCTTATTTTGGTTGTGCGAGAAAGCAAATTGTATCTACCTACGCCTCCATCTTAGCCAGATGTCCCTGGCTTTATTCTTGTTAATGTCAGTTTCAGGGGAGTTATCCAACAATTGAGCTCACCGAGTTAAACTGAAAGTTCTAGATACATAGTGTAATATTCTTACAGAAGTCAGTATTTTCAAAAATATTTGAGTAGTGCTTTTTTTTCTTACTAAGAATATCCAGTTTATAGACATGTGAAATGAACTCTCAGGTTTCTGCCTGAGAGTGACTGTTTTTCAGCGGCAAGTCCCCTAGCTAGTAGAGCAGGCACTGTCAGCATGTGAAAGTCTGGAAGATGACTTAGAAAGAGTTCTGTAAAAGTAAAAGAAGCCTTCTCACCTATTGACATTCTCTTTGGTCTCTAGTACTTGGTTTTCAGTACCTTTTGAGCCGTTCAGGACCTCTTTGATCTTCTTACTGTTGGTTTCTTGATGGGGGCAGAACTTGTACTGGTTTAACCATCCTTGTTCAACAGTCTTTCACTTTTTAAAGTTGTGACTCTCTTAGATACTATGTACATATTTGAATTTTTGAAAAAAGAGGAAGAAAGAGAAAATACTTTATTACCAGAGTTTACTTCACCTCTTATTTTTCATATGGAAAAAAATTTTTCATCTTTTTAAAAACATCCATTTCCTTTCAGCACTCTCCCAAAGACCAATTTCACTTTGAAGCTATTTTGACTGAGAGAGTAAAGTAAGCTGATGATAGATATGTGTTTTTAAAGACTTTATTATCCTTATCCTTTCTATTTATGAGCTGCAATCTCTTCATTATACAAATTGCTGCTACCTTCCAACAATATCATGCTTCTTTGTAAACTGAACTTAAAGGATTGCTGTTGCCTTTGTTTTTCATCCTTAGTTAATTAAAGAGAAGAAAAAGCAAGGCAGATGGCACCATCTCTAACATGATGGGTGCTAGATTTTGTGAATTTTAATTCATTTCCTTAGTAGCTTTCTTTGTTTCTTAAGTGAAGTGTAGATATCTTCAATTCATTAAGATAATTGTGCCTAGTCTTCACTCTCTCTCTTTCATCCTATATATTAATCATTTACATTACTGAAAATAATTAAAGATCTGAGCAGTAGCTAGAGACAAGTTTTACTTATTCTTGGTTCCATAATAACCTTAAGAGACATGGCTCACCTCATTGTGGTGGTGTTCTGAGTTTCATTTAACTTCATTTATGGTTTGTGAAAGGTGCTTAGGGAATGCCTTGGTGACTCTGCCTTATGGTGATATTTTATTTGTAGGTCAGCATTGGTTGTCCTGAGAGGATGGAACCAATCACAAAGATCTCCCACATCCCGCCCAGTCGGTGGGCCTTAGTCTGCTACCTGTGCAAAGTGAAGACAGGGGCTTGCATTCAGGTAAGTTCCTATGAGAAGTGGTAGAGTGGACTAACACCACATTGGCCAGACTTGCCCTTCCAGAGAGAGCATCTTGTTAACTGAGAGGTTACTCAGGAGGTTTCCCACTCACTTCCAGGGCTCTGCCATTTTACAGACCATTTCTGGAACCTTTTTTTTTTTTTTTCTTTTGGCCGCGGGGGGATGTTGCCTCTGAACCCTTCAGCTTATTCTTTTCAGTTTCCATAGGGGTAGTTAATTTCCATCCTTTGCTGTCAGATTTGATGGATTGGGTGAGTTTTGAAGTTAAATGACATAATACTGGGTGGAAACAAGCCAACACTCTAAAACAACCAGACCTGTGTTCTTGTTTAGCTTACCCACTGACTATGGATAGATTTCGCTTTCCTGTTGCTGGACGAAGTGCAACTCATTTTGGTAGGGAAATGTGCCTCTGAATGAATAAATTCGATCTGAAAGTCATTCTCATAGGCACACTTGTTGCATATGGCAGTTAGTGCAAGTAAACTTTTCTGAGACATCTGGAGCACAGGAATTCAGCTGCTTAAAGTAATAGTAGCTGGTACACCTAATAGCAGCATTTAGGGGGTGGTAGATGGGACTGAGAGGAAAGGGGCAAGTTATCTCCAGCAAAAGCAGAAGGATTGATCCTTCCACTCTGTGACCTTCTGCATAGAAGCTGCAGGCTGATTGGAGTTAGGTTTGTCTATTGACCTTTCACAGAAAAGGAGCCATATGATATCATAGCTTATGGACAGTGGCTCTAGGTGTTTCATGAGGTTCCTTGCTGTCTGGCTCATCTTGCAGATTTCTTGCTCCACATCTGGGATCAGCTACTCCTCCAAGTAATGCTGGTTCTTTTACTGGGAAATGGTATTTAACAGCCACAATCTGGACACCAAGGGACCTTTTAATTTTTTAAATTCATTTACACATCTGACACAATGAGATAGTTTGCCTTGCTTTCTTTAACTTTTTCCTACTGATTTCATTTATTTTAACTACAGCACTTGAGTGATTATAAAGGAAAACTATTCCCACAGGATCTGCCACCTTAACATATTGCCTGTTTATATTTTTCTAAGCTCTTAGTTGCTCCCCATATGTGAGCCCCTTGAGGGCCAAGGTTGTGCATCATTCTTCTGTGAATTTCCCCTAGTATGATGGAAAGTGCCTGCCCATTGTCAGTGCTCAGTGTTTATTGTATATATGTATTGTATCATAGATTAGTTTGTAACATGCATTCTCACCACTAAAAAATAAAATTTCTCCATGTTTTCATAATTATTTAGTCATTCTGTAATAGCACATTGAATTTATATTTATTGATTAACTTACTTTTCTTGTTGCAGTACCTGCATTTTCCCCTTATTTTTGCTGTCTTAAAAGATGATCTTTTTTTACAACAATTTAGTAACTGGCAGCATGACTATGGTGAGAGAAAATACAGCCTTTGACCTTAGCAGACCTGAGTTTGCATTACAGCCCCACATTACCATATTCTACCCTCTGTTACAGTTATTTATCTGTGTTTTATCTTTCCTAGTAGACTGTAAGCTCAGACTGTTTCATCCTTAGATCCCCCACATCCATGACATGGCATACAGACAATAAATATTAGAATAACCTTCTGGAGTAGGTTTTTCATTCTCAGGGCCATGATTCTTATTTTTATTATACTTAGAGTTTAGAGTCTGTATTTTTTGAAGATCTTAAAAAATTAAGATTCTTAAATTTTTTATTATAAGGAATTAAATTTATTCAACAAATATTTGATTGCCTAATTGTATGCCAGGCACTCACTGTTAGGCACTTTGGATTTATCAGTGAACCAACAAAGAACCTTGCATCATGGAACTTATATTTTAGTTGGGAGAAATAGATAATATACAACAGATACTAAACAGCACATTAGAAGTTGGGAAGTGCTATGAAAAGGAAATATATGGAGTATTGTAAGCAGATCGGGAGTGTGGGGCAGGGAGCATGCATTGCAAGTTTAAATAGAGTGGTTGGAGTTAAGACTCGTTGTAAAGATAACGTGAGCAAAGACTTGAAGGTGAGAGAAAATAATGCAGATATTTGGGCTAAAAATATTTCGGGCAGAGGGATCAGCCAAAACAAAGCCCCTGAGGTGGTAGTGTATGTAGCCTCTTTGAGTGACAGAAAGAAACCAATGAGGCTGGAATGGAGTGTGTGGGAAGAGAAGAGCAGAGAGATTACATGGGAACTTGATTGGTTGGGGCAGGAGTTGGCAATTTTTTTGCTATAAATGGCCAGACAGTAAATATTGCAGGTCACACAATCTCTGTCACAACTATTCATTTCTGCCTGTAGGGTTTTCCAGGGCCCATATGAGATCTTTTGATTTTACTCTGAGTTTAACCTGGGAAAGCAGAGTTGAGGGGCGGGGGTGGGAATTGGCAGGTTTTGAGCAGACAGGTGACATGATTTGATTTATGTTTCTAAGGGATCATTATGTGGAATGGTTTGATGTCTAAGATTTGCTTCAAAATAATCTGGAGGACAGGGTAGTATGGGGGTTAAAAATAAAACAAGGTTGATCATAACACTAATAATTATTGAAGCTGGGTGATGGTTATATGGGATTTATTATAATATTCTCTATGCTATTATATAGGTTTTTAAATTTCCACAGTAAAAGGTTAAAGCAAAAATGGGCACTCTGGCTGCTGTCTTTAGACTGTGAGAAAGGAAGGTTAGAAACAGGAAAAGCAATTAGGAGACTATTAAGATAATCTGTGAGAGGTGGTGGTGACTTTGACCAGAGTGATAGCCCTTAAGATGTTGAAAAATGGTTGGATTGTGGATGAATGTTGAAGGTAAAGGCAACAGGATTTACTGGATCAGATATGATGTGTTAGAGAAAGATAAGAATTGGGTGTGCCTCTAGGTTTTTTGGTCCAAACAGTGGGAAGGATGAGGTTGCTATGAATCTGTAGGTTTAGAACAGATTAAGGGGGAAAGATAACAAGTTCAGTTTTAGACATTTAAGTTTGAGGTGTCTATTACATATCCTAGTAGAAATGTTGAACTGGCAGTTGTCTTTGTGATTTCGGAATTTGGCGGGGGTGGGGGGTTAGGATTAAAGACATATACGTGGGAGTCGTTGGCATATAGATAGTTTTCACCTGGATCCATGGAGCAAGCGTTGATAGATCAGTACCAAGCACTTGGCCTTGAAGCATTCCAGCATTAAGAAGTCAAAGAGTAGGAAGAACTAGCAGAAGAAACTGGAGAGAGCTGCCAGGGAGACAAGAAGAAAACCAAGAACCTGTAGTAGCCTTACATGTAGCCTTACAATCCACATGTAAGTAGACTCATGCAGTTCATATCCTTTGTTGTTCAGGGGTCAGCTGTACAGTAATTCAGTAACGGTCAAGTTTTGCTGTCATCATTGTTCTATGGAGGTTAATTTAATGGTCTTTATGTTTAGTAACATAATTTGGGGTTCTTTGCTTTATAAACTGTTTGTGGAAATTTCTTAATTGTCTTTGAATTGGTTTTATTCTGCTTGTCCTCCACCAGTGGAAATAACTGCCATCTCTCCTCTTCTTTTAATTTCAGAACATTCACTGGGCAAGAATTCAATCTAAGACTGCTGGGTTTGGGGTCTAGACTAGCTAATATTTACAGCTTCCATATCTGGGAGTTAGATCCTTTCTCAGGAACATGAAGGCTTCTGATAATACTGGAACAGATTCTAAATACTGGGTTCAAATCAGATACCCAGACATCTCTGAGTTTTGCCTAGACCTTGGATACAGTCTAACTGCCAGCTTTCAAGAATTCCTGTTGGGCTCCTATATATCTTATGTGTAAGGCCCATTCAGCCTAGATCCAGATGCTTTAGGCATTCCCTGAGAAGAAAGAAAGAACAGTGGTTAAGAATATAGCCTTTTGGCCCTGGCTGGATAGCTCAGTTGGCTACTGTCACCCCAATACACCAAGATTGCAGGTTCTATCCCTGGTCAGGGCACATATAAGAGTCGATCAATGAATGCATAAGTAAGTGGAACAACAAATAAGTGTTTCTCTCTGCTTTCTCTCTCTCTCTCTCTCTCTCTCTCTCTCTCCCTCCCCCCCTCCCTCCCTCCCTCCCTCTCTCTCTCTCTCTCTCTCTCTGTCCCCACGCTCTTTCTCTTTCTCTATCTCTGAAATCAATTTTTGAAAAGAATATGGCCTTTGGAGCCAGATTCCTGGAGTTCAAATCCTGGTTCCACCTCTTGCTTGTTATGTAGTCTTGAGAAAGTTATCCACCATATCTATACCTCAGTTTCCACATCTATAAATAGAGATGATAATAGTGCCTACTTTTAGGGTGGTAAAGAGCTTAACACAGTGCCTAACAGGTAGCAAATACTCAGTAAATGTTAGCGGTACTAGTAGTTGTTGTTATTATTTATATTATTATTCCCTGAAGTCTATCTGCTTTTGCTGATGGAAAGCCCTAGTGTTCATCTAGCCAAACTTAATTGAATCATCAAACATTTGAGGTGCCCCTTTTGACAGTAGAGGGATATGGGCATGTGTGAAATCACATGCAAGTATATTGAAGTCAGGATAAATCAGTGGGCCACCATGAGTTTACCATTAGGCTAATAAGAGTTCGACTATGAGGGAAGTGACTTTCTTTTAAAAAAGAAGTGAAAATTTTCAACAGGTGAGGAAGTACAAGATGCAAGTACATCTACTCAATGACTGTTAAAGGTGGCTCTAGTAGAGAAGAAAATTAAATGTTGAGATTAAAGAACACATGAAATACTGAATCAAAAGGCAGTTCCATTTTTAGTTTTTTGAGGAAATTCCATACGGTTTTCCACAGTGGCTACACCAGTCTGCATTCCCACCAACAGTGTACTAAGGTTCCCTTTTCTCCACAGCCTTGCCAGCACTTGTTGTTTGTTGATTTGTTTATGATGGCCATTCTGACCAGTGTGAAGTGGTATCTCATAGTGGCTTTAATTTGCATATCTCTG